TTTGAGATGTTGTTAACATTGTGTTTGCCTTAAGTGGAGTCCAAGTGTGCTCCAAAGTGTTTAGTTGGCAATTTACGCTCGTGGCGCAAGGTTGGTTTTCGTCTTTTGTTTTGGGACGTGTTGGACAGTGTGTGTTTTTTCAAAGGGGGTTTTTACGTACAACGCTTGAGAAGAGATCTTACAACAATAAAAAAAAAAATAAAGTGTTTTAATTAGAAATCAAAAAAATCTATATATCTGTGTGGTGGATGTGATCGAAAATATATTTTCGAAACGATCATAATGATGCTGCTGATAATGTTGAATAAATGACGTGTTATTTGTGGAAAAAATATTAGTTTTGTTATTAATAATTGCTGATGATGGAAATATGAAAATTTTATAGAAATTACAGCCATAACGAGCTCTTTTTATTGTTGGCTCGCCATTAAGTGAATGAGTGCAATTCATTTAAATAAATTAAAGCATGTCTGAAGAAGACAGAGGAAAAAATCCAAATTGTGCAAAAGAAAGGCGAAACGAAGAAATAATTTAAATACACAATCACGTCATTGCAGTAGAATAAATGAATGAATAAATGTAAGAAGCCGGAGAATACAAGGAGAGAAAAGAAGTTAAATTCAACTCGAACGCTTAGCCGTTGTACCAGACTCAGCTGACTACCTGCCTTTCAGTGAGAAGAGATGAGGGAAAGACGGTAGTCTCTGTTGTTTTTTTTTTTTTTCAATTAACTTCATTTGCATTTTTATGAAATTGTGATTTGTTGTAGGTTATGCTTCAACTCCCCTAGATTGTTGTAGTACTACCATACCAGCATTGTTGTTGTTTATTTTCTGTTTTTTAATTTAAGGGCTTCCCCCATGCCTTTGTGTTACCTTGGCTTCTTCTTATGTTCTTGTTGATTTTGTATTTAAATTAAATCTTTCGTTTTTTTTAGGTTTTATCTATTGAGGTTTTATTATTTCAAAATGTGGATTTGAAAACATCAAATTCATATTTTTTTTTAAAATTTTAGATATTAATTTTTGTTTATTTTTTTTTTTAATTTAATCCCCTTTAATGGAATATGAGAACTATGTGACTTTTGTGAACCAAAATTGAGATTCCCAGAATAACTTCTTCCAGAGATGATGTAGAAGAAGATTTGTAAAAATTTCGGTCCATGTTATCAAAAATTATTCATCAACTTTTTAGATTTTCTTGGTAGCTAAGTTAACTATTTTTATTTTTTAATTTTTTTTTTGTATTTTTCCAAACTTTCCACTGTTTTAACTCCCAAGAACACATAATCGCAAGTATCTCCAATATTGTGTAAAATTTTGTGTCTCTTTTATTCTCCATCTAGTTCCTCCAAACAAAAGAAATCATTGTGATAAAAAAACAACAAATACGTTTATCACTACTATTCATTAAGAAATAGTACTCTGAGTGCATCCATCATTGATTTTGTTTTATGAAAAGAAAGACGCTAAAATAAAAGCGCACCAAAACCAAAAAAAAAAAAAAAAAAATACAACAACTACAAAACCAGCGAAATATAACTCGTATTATAAATTCTCCTCACATCTCCGTTTTGTGACGGGAGCAGAGTGAAAGAAAAAATCACCGACTGTTAGAGCGTGATTGTATGTGCGTTTCGAGTGTGTGACATTTTCGGAACAGTGCACCAAACTGTGTGAACTCCAACGGAGCCAACATTCTTCTGTTGCTGCTACGGCTGTTGTCGCCGTTCTTCTTTTGGATTTTCAGCTTTAGAGTAGGTCAGGTCAGTATTACTTTTTTTAAATTTTTTTTTGTATTTTTTTATTTCTTTTTGTTTTTTGCTTCTTCTTGTTCCTCTTTGTCTTTTCTTCCTTCTGGGTTATTGTATTTTAGCCAAAGCATTCTTTTCATATTGCTATTCCCTCCCCTCTCCATCCCATTCATATGTTTCACATCCGCATTGTCTTCTTTTGTTATTATTACTATTCGTTCATTCTTGCTTCCCCACACATTCTTCTATTCGATGAGAAAAACACACGAAAAAAATGAATTGTGTTTATGACTGGTGTTATTTTTTTTTTTGAACATGCCGCGTCATAACATGGAGTCAGTGTCGTCAACTTCTCAAGGTTGCAAAAAAATGCCGCAATTAATTTTGCTAATTGCATGGGCCAATACAAAACCAGTTAAGCCGGCGTTTAAGAAAAAAAAACTTTAATTTAAACCAAATCGCTAATAATATTTTTGCGACATTATTTTCCAAAATCTGGTATGATCTCCATATAAAGGTACATCCCGATAATCCGTATTTTAATGATTTTTGCCACATTTTGTAACGGATTTGTCTATCTCGCCGAGCTGAATCGATTTGGCTATGTATGTCTGTCCTTCTTGTCCTTCACGTCACAGGTCGCAGTTATGGCCCTATCCTCACGAAACTGAAACTGCAGGTCGGGTTAGGGTCACAATAGATACCTATTATTTTTGGAGATGAACGCTAAATATTTAGGTGTTGAAATGTACCAAAAACAGAAAAATATCCTGATTTCGACCCGAAATTTAGCATGCAGTTTGAGTTTAGGGCTGGACAGAAGCCTACCATTACTTGGACGGTCATCGGACAACTTTTAGCGGGTAAAAAAACATAACTTTTATGCCAAAAAAAATACCAAACTTCCACTAAACCGCGAATATTGTTTAACCCGGCCGATTCACCAATACATTAAAAGGTCACTTCTGCTGATAGCCAAGATATCGGATATATTGCAAAGTAGTTACAATATATATGTAAAAGAAATAGATCCTAGTTATTCTGCTTTAAAGTCAAGAACCGCTGGACTGGATTTTCACAATTCTCATTAATTTTGAATGGTCTCTTGCTTAAAACGTATAAAATATAATAAAATCGCGTAAAAAATATGCCAATGAAAAGCGAATATTTTTTATCGCATGCGATATTTTCAAGTTACCTTACACTTTTTAATTGAATATTTTCTACAAAAAATTTTTGCAGGGGGTAGGATTAGGGTCAGAATTGAAGTCTACTGTTTTTGAAGATGTACATTTAGGGATTCAAATGGAACCAAAAAAAAATAAAAATTTTCCTAATTTTGCAATCGCTCTGCAATTGAAAACCAATCTAAGGATTTGGTCATAAGGGCTTTCAGCATATCACATGGCCGCCCCCGCACGACTATAGCCTTTGTTTTCATGTTTCATTTCCTGGTATCGAAAGAAATTTTCATTTAAGGTATTCCATCGGCGGCGACTATAAAATTTCGTCCTGTTTTAATGAGATCCATTATTTTTATACCATACATAGTATGGAGCATATATTAGGTTTTGTCATTCCGTTTGTAACACCTCGAAAAATACATTATAGAATTAATCAGCATACAATTCTATATCGATTTATCGATGTTCATCTGGGTTGATTAAATTTTACTCAGATGTATGTTATCTCTGCAGGACTTTTGGTATTGAAAATGGGCCACGTTTTGCTATAACCTCCAGATATTCAGTATTGTGATTATTTGTGTCACATTTGTCACCGAAAATATTTCAAATTTGGAATTTGAAGTTCTTTATGAGCAATACATCCTATGACAGAAATTGCTCATACAGGTCGTATATTCCCATATAACGATACCTCTCTATATTTTTAACGACATTATTCATCGGAGTTGTTTCAAGTTTCGTATATGAATATCAAAATGGTCTACGACAAAATTGCATATACAGGTCCACGTATTCGTGTTGGTCGCAATATAACAGCAACTCCCTGTATTCAATTGTTTTTTTTTAATATGCAAATTACTTTCAAATCGTGGAGAATATTTAATATTTAAATAAACTTTCGATATACTTTTTTCCGAGAACTTTTCGAGATATGTGAACTATAGAAACACGTAGACCTAAATGTGTCTTTTTTTGTCTGACAACTTCAAATATCTGATTCCAAACTATAATCAAACACCGAATTAGACTATACGAGAACCTACACAAATATTACCCTAATCTAAAGAACTGGCTAAGTCGAGCCTGGCTAAGTTACGTTTGGACCTTGTCGTAGACTTCATATTCATATTTTGAAGAGAATCGATTTATCTTTCATAAAATATATGGTTATTCAGAAGGAGTTACCCATTTTCGATATAAATGTGAAACGTCTTAAGTTTTTTTTTTTTTTATTTAGAATTTTTGTAGGGTAGGATCTTTTTTAAAACCAATATGGTCTACCTTTACCCTTTATCTGTTTGTTTTTATGGGTAGGTACCAGTACGAGTGGGTCAATGTATTCCATCTTCACGTTTGCAGGCAAAGATATTGAGATGTGCTAAGAAACTAATTCCACATTTTACGACAACTGTGGTTTTTTTTTAATATTGACTTTTTGTGGGGGAGGTACCAGAATTATTTTGCCTTTTGGGAGGATTATTATTGTTCAAACTTTTGACCCTTTCTGAGGCTTAACAGTTAAACCAGAATCAAGTGAATAACACCGTTGCTTTCTTTGAGACAAGTTAAAATCCCTTCAAGAATTTTCTTTGGCGCCAGTAAGACTTACGGGTGGACTCCAAACCTCCCGAAACGGAAGTCCTCAAAAGAGAATGCAATATGATTCAATTGAAGTTTGTGTTTCAGAATTCTTCCACTAAGTAAATGTCAAGGACTTACGGATTAAAATTACTAACGTTGAATTATTCACAGAATTTAGAACTGTGTATTTCGACTATCACTTTAAATTAAACACGTCATCCTTGCTTTTATAATTAAAACCTCCACCATAGTATAGAGGGCATATTAAGTTTGTCACTTTTGACTGCATAAAATTCTATTTCGATTTAGCGTGCAGGTCCACGCATTCGTATAGCCCCAATATAACGGCACCTCCCGATATTCGGTTGTTTGATGATTTTAGCGACATTATTCGCTGATTTTTTTTTTAAGTTTCGCATTTGAATATTGTAATGGCTTATGCCAAAAGTGGCCTATACAGGTCCATGCCGTCGTATTATAACGGAATTGTTAACGGATTTTATGTTTTTCGAAAATTGTCAAATTCGTTCCAAATGGTGGAGGGTATTCAAAGTTCGGCCCGAACGAACTTAAAGCTTTTTTACTTGTTTTTTCCTATACTAGCTTACTTTGTTCCAGTTCGTTTCGTTTGTTCCAATTCGTTATGTGTTTCTAATGAATATCACGATATTGACCATTTTATCAGTTTTGAATCTGCGACAATGCCAGGAAGCCTTTTTGAAACCAAACCAATTGGATTAGGAGGCTCCAACTAGCAAACCATTATTTAGACAAAAAAATTTTCCAACCGATTTAAAGGTCACCTTGAAAACTATTCAATATTGCTGCACGTTTTAATATTTCGTTGTAGTCTTCAAATCCAATTCATTAGCAAATTTTCTTTAATTTCATTATTTAACCAGTAAAGAAAGTCCTAAAGTCGGGCGGGGCCGATTTTATGATACCCTACACCACTTTGCTAATTTAGTTGAGCTCCACTTAATAATTGAAGTTTTTATGGGAGAATTCAATCATACACGCTATGATTATAATTATAATTTAAAATTCAAAGGACTAAATATGCCGAAGCATTTGTATCTTTTAAATTCGGACTTGTATTGCCCATTTGGTGCGAAATTAATTTGAAATCGGATAAAAATATATATGGGAGCTATATTCAAATCTGAACCGATCTCGATAACATTTGGCGAAGATATTTCTGATCTGTATTTGATATATTTCCCTGAATATCGTTGTTATGGAGTGCATATTACGGCTGTGGGTAACAAATACAATAAATCGGATGAACAATATATATGGGAGCTATAATTATATCTGAACCGATCTTCACCAAATTTGGCATACTACCTTCTAGACTAAATTCGGTCGTATGTGCCAAATTCCATCCCATTTGGACAAATAATAGACGTTTGGTGCACAACAAATGTTAAATCGGACGAAGTTATATATGGGAGCTATATCCAAATCTGAACCGATCTCGATAAAATTTAGCAAAGGTATTTCTGAGCTGCATTTGATATATTTCCCCAAATATTGTTGTTACAAAGTGCATATTACGGCTGCGGAGGACAAAAATAACAAATCGGATGAACAATATATATGGGAGCTATAGCTATATCTGAACCGATTTCGATAAAATTTGGCATACTTATTTCCAACCCTAATTTGTTTGTATGTGCAAAATTTCATACTATTCGGGCTGATATTACACGTTTGGTGCACAATAAAAGGCAAATTGGACGAAGATATATATGGGAGCAATATCTAAATTTTTACCGATTATCTCCAATTTCAATAGGGTTCGTCCTTGGGCCAAACAAATGTTGTTTGCAAAATTTCATCTCAATCGGATAATAAATGCGACCTGCATTTTGTTCATAAGAATAAATGGACAGACGGACGGACAGACGGACTGACATGCATAAAACAACTCAGAAAGTGATTCTATGCAGATAATCAAAAGGAACTATGGGTCTATCTCGTTTCCTTTTGCCTGTTACAAACAAATGCACAAAGACATAATACCCTGACCACCTTGTGGTGTAGGGTATAAAAATCACAGAAAAGCATCCAAACTCGCTGCAAAGTTTACATTATTACACCGAATCTTTCTTCGGCTAAAATGAAAGCGTGATTATAAAGCAACAATACAACACTTTCCTCCCATTATTCTTGTGTTTTGTTTCATAATTTCCTTTCTCTTCTGGTTCGTTCTTCTGTTGCCTCATCGTCGTGGCCA